CTGCGATCCGTGCGTCCAGACGTAGGATCTGTCGCTCCTGTATCTCCGCCGCCATCAGCACCGACTGTATGCGTCGGCCCACACCCTCATCGGCCACCTTGGTCATTGTGACGCGCGTGTCATAAAACAGGTGCAGGTGCTTCTCGTAACTGTGACCGCATTTTAAACAACTGTACGACTGGTTTAACCGATCCCTTACGATACCTGTGGGCGCGGCCAACGCTCTGCTCAGCCACGACTGACCATGGTCAGAATTAGCTGGGTCACGATCTGCGCTACTGTGTCTGGTGAACGCTTTGCATTTGAGTAGACCCTTATTGCCCACTACATTGCCATCGTTAAACTCCAAGTAGCATGGTGAATGGCACTCGGTGGTGTAATTGATCTCGGTGGTCACGCCGTTATTATCGATGCGTTCGCAGCACTCGTCGGCCCCGCACACAGTCTTTGGCCGGTCTAACGGTACGGATATTATCTCAACCGATGGTATGTATAGCTTATTGTTTAGCTCTTCGAGAGATCCCGAGAACTCTTCGATCTCGAGTCTATGTGTTTCGCATTCATTGAGATTATCGATGATATTCTTCGTGATGTCAGCCATAGGTTTGGTTAATAATTGTATGATTTGTTTGGCGTTATTCACCGATAGTGTGTCCATCACTTTGTGTGCCTCCAATTGGGTTATGTAATTGAATAGACGCTTGCATTCACTCACAGATCTAATGATTATATTAATTGTTTGTATTATATAATAAATGTTAAAATTAATAATGTTCACAAACCTGCCCCAACTTTTAGCATACAATGGTTTAAAACTCGGCTCAAACTGTATATTATTTGGCGGAACCGAAGCCACGAGATATCGAAACGACTCGGAATCAAAACAATACGTTGTTTTTGAGTTATAAGGGATGTCAACATTTGGCGGCATTTCCTTGATTTGCTTTAAAACACTCATTAATGCGGGACCCGATTCCCCGGGCATGTAATGAGTGCTCCGGGAGTTTGTAAATAGAAATAGTATATTATTTGCGGCGTTTTTATTCAAATAAGTGAACAATTGAAGCAAACAATACTTGAATACGACGTCAACTCTCATCACGTTTGGCTTTAAGAGTATACAAAAAGCGTTGATTTCTGAATGAATAGTTGAAATTAATAGTTTATTTATAAAGAGTACTATCAAGTGATACAAATTTAACGTTGTCAGCATAGCTCAGTTGGTAGAGCGTTGGGTACTAATTCTAAAGGCCCTAGGTTCAAATCATCGTCTCGTCACTTTTTTCAAACTTTTTTTCACATTTAATTATCACCTATGTGTATTTATATTCAAGCATATACATGCATTTAAAATTAAGCATGAATTTGCAAAATCATCGTCTCGTCACTTTTTTCAAACTTTTTTTCACATTTAATTATCACCTATGTGTATTTATATTCAAGCATATACATGCATTTAAAATTAAGCATGAATTTGCAACTAGTAATCCTGCAGCTAGGCTTAATTATTGGTTGTATCATATCCTGTTTTTGGCTTAATTATGAGTAGGACCTAAATTACAGTGATATATAAGCTTGATGAATACGAGCTCTTATGTCAAAATCTTATTAAGACACTAGGTCGAATAATATATCTAAATTATGTTAAATTGTTAAATATAACTACGGTACTATTATTAACAATTGTGTTAATTGGAGCTGATTTTACAATGATTAAGTTAATAACTATTTTCTATTATGTGTATTTTTTCTAGCTCATGTCTTTAGAGCTAATGTTATTCCCGTTGTATGACAGTTAGGGTGACCACCAAATATCCTCTTAAAAAAGGACGACTGATCAAAAATAGTCATTAAAAAAGGACTCAAAAAGGACGCAAAAAATTATTATCCCTTTACTTTATTCCGTTGTTTTGTTACACATTTTAAATAAGTATTTAAATGAAAACACTTTTGACAAACAAAATAAATGACATCGTTTAGGCCAAAGGGATTAAAAATACATTCTTTGCTTTTTATAATAGTTTTTTTTTTAACAAACACAACATTTTTTATTATAGATTTCTACTCTATTGTTCTTATTTACTGTTTGTTTGCTGTAATGTCATAACTTTACATCTTTGTAGCGCTACAGTGCATAGAATTCAATGAGATTTCCCATACTTTAAAACAAATTAACCTTTTTATATTGAATTTAATAAAATTTTTTAAAAAAGGACAACGTATAGTCCTTTCCGACTACTCGAAAGGACGCTGTCTTGAGAAGTCAAAAAAAGGACAAAACCCATAAAAAGGACGTTCTGGTCACCCTAATGACAGTGTATAAATAAGGGTGTCGAAGGCCCTATGTTAATTTGGCTAAAAAAATATTTTTTATTTAACCCTACGGAAAAAAGTTGTCTAAATTGTATCTTGGCCGATTT